CCGGTCTGGCAGCCCCGGGGCTTTTCCTGCCGCTGCCTGGCGGGACGTGGGGGCTGGAAGCAGAGCGGCGAAACGCAGGACCAGCCCCTCCGTCTCGCTGCCCCCAAACGCCCGGGTGCCCTTCTCAGGTGTTGCTGCGGCGTAAGAGCGAGTGGTGTGCGCGGGCAGGTACGTACAGGTGTGACATGTTTATCGTTAATGCAGGCATAGGTGCCCTTACGGTGAGGAGAAGTGATTGTCGTTAAAGTAATGCTTTATTAAAAGTGTGTACGGGTATTTTTTTCTGGAGATAATGCTCTTTGTAGTTACAACTGGTCTTTAAGTCTTCTGCAGTCTAGTAAAGCCACTTGGGTTAAAACAGCTGTCAGCAGTTTGTGTTCTGTTGTTGTTTTCAACAGAGCTAGTTGTTAGAACAGGAATTAGCAAACAATCTTGGGTGATGTTCTGGCTATTGTAGTGTTTTTATTTTTCCCAACTTACTCTTTGTTATGACTACAACGTTCTTCAGTGTGTCCGGTTGCAAAAAGCCTAATGGGGCGCATTAGGGGTTGGAGAACTTTTTTTTGTCCCCACCGATCTCGTCACACATCACGTAAGACTGATTTAAAATCTCAGAGGAAGTCAAAACTCGGTGCAATCTCATTGGTTCTTGTGTGTACTTTCTTTACTCACTAAATAAATTTTTAATGCAAAATGTTTCAAATGTTACTATGCAGATACAAGTTATTCACATGCTGTTTCTTATGAAATAAACCAGTAAAATCCTGTTTTTCTCGCAAACCCTTTTTCTTGAACTGTTCTAATACAGATTTTGCAGATACCATAGGGGTTGTTCAAAAAACAAACATGAAACTAGATGTATTTTATTTTTACTGGTTGAAAGCATTATTACTTGGATATGGAGCTGCACAGTGTTCTCCGCAGTCCTTTGAATATGTCACATCTAGGTTGAATGTCAGAAAATTGTTTTCTTTAAAATTGATTTAAATTTATTTCAAATTGGTTTTTTTTGAGACATGGTTTTCTGTGTTTCTTTACTGCTGTTTACTTGAAAGGCAGATCATGCTGTGGTGTGAGTAGGAACAGCTGTACTCTGTTTGACCAGGTGGATCATTAGGTGAATTGGTCAAAGCTGGATTTAATTCCTGTATTTGAATAGGGTTGCTTTCTGCCTGCAGAAGGGCTCGTTCTATTACAGCAAATGTAAAACAGCTGGGTACACTATCGGGTGAAATGATGATTAGTTAAAAAGATTCTTAAGTAAAGCCTTTGACTATGTTAGATTCTTGATTTCACTCACGGTTTTGGTGGCTATGCAGTGATCTGTGTCTTGAAATTAATTTAATAACTGCATTTGAACTCAGTTAAGTCTCTGAGGAACTAGTGAATCAAAACTGTGGTTTTTCAAAACATGTTATCTACTTTGGAGAAACCTTTTTTCAATCTAAAGTCAGAAACTTGTTCTTAGTCATATTCTTGCTGATGTCTAGTAGCTTTCTGAATACACTGGAAGTAGCATCTTTCCTGTTCATGATACTTATAGCAGAATGAGCTGCCGTGTTTCTTAGGAACCTTTGTTATGTTAACAAAACGGAAAAAGCAGCTCCTCTGCTCTTGCAGTGTCTGCTTGCAGACCAGAGTCTAAGTGGGCTTTCTAGATTTATGTAGGAGTTAGGTTGGTGATGGGGTATTGCAGTGCAAAGAGTGGAGTTTTACTGCAAGCCTAATTGTGATTTCATGTTGGTGACAGAATTCTTGTTGAATTTGGTTGCAAGGATCAAGGTTTGTTAATCTCCCATAGCAAACAGAAGTATTTGACATCCTGGAATTCTTTGTAGAGATATACATTATTGTACTTGTCAAAGCTACCTGGGATGTTTAAAACGTATATGTATCAATTCTTCAGTTTTTAAGAGTCACATTATACAAATGTTTCATTTTAACTAGGAGGATAGGAGAAACAGTGGCCTAACACTATACTTAGATTTCTTAAATCAGTTCCTTGGATAAAAATAATACATTTTGTAAATAGAAAAATTGTTTACCTAAGAAATGCACTTATTTTTTTATCTAGTAACGTTGATTCTGGGAAATGGACAACAGCATTTTTCAAGTTTATCAAGATGAAATCCAGTCATTGGAAGAAGAAATTAAAATGTTGACTGAAAAGTATGAAGACAGCCAACAAGAATCCACCTCTTTTTCTGAAGAGGAGATATTAATGTCAATGTATGCCTTTTTTCAAATGTTGGATTAATAGTGTTTCTTTGTCAAAATTGTTTAACATAAGCTTTTCCCTCTGTTAGGACTTTCCTTATGATATTCTTTACAGTACTGATTTTGTTTAAGACAAGGGCTATATGGTAAGAGATTACAAATAATATATGATCTCTTTTTACTGCCTTTTGTTGATAGATTGTGGGTTTTTAGGGGTTTTCTGATTGTTTTTTAAAAGACCACCGTTGTCAGAGCATGATATCAAGTGTGTTACTGTGCAGGCCCTGCAAAGCTGTTGACTACAAAGGTCATGTTTTCCATTATGCACTGTGAAACAGTTCAGTGCATATTTACTAAAAATAGTTGGGAACAGGGGACGTGCAGGTGTGACTAGTTATATGCTAAAGTATCTTCTTTATTTAACTGATGCTCTGGAGTAAATCTATACTCTGTAAATAACATAAGTAATTTAGATGACTAAAGGCATCACAGCTCATTTTTATTGTATGTTCATCAAAATGGATACTTGCATCTCAAGACTTCTAATAAAGACTGTGTCTACCTGGCAGTGAACATAAAGTATATATGTAAATTAGAGTAGTTTACTGTTCCTGATAATGTGATCCAAGTGAAATTTGAATCATTGAAAAGTGAGTCTGAAAATCATCAGATCATATTACAACTACCTTTTACTTAATGGCATTGCTGAACTGACATGACCAAACATGTTCTTATGTGTGGTTCTGTTTCCCTCTTGATTTATTTATTTTTTCTTTTTCAATTCTAGAAAATCATTCCAAAAAGAATTTCAGGCGGAACCTAAGGGACATGAATCTCCATCAGATCTGAAAGCACAACTTGAAACTCTAGAAACAGATATCTCATTTTTAATGAAACTTACGGGTATTCAGTTCACAAGTTATTCCAAGAAAACAATGGAGAAAAGTAAGCTTGTGTCTATTACTGATGCTATACTGAGCATACTGTTTAAAGTCATTACATTAGCAAATGTATGTTGTAGTTCTACTTTCAATGTTAACAGAAAGGCTAATATTTTCAGATGCCATAGACTTTTCTTTATTGACAAAATAGTTTCTGAGTCAATATGGTATTTTGCATAGTGGGAAAGTGAAAGCCTACCTTGAAGTTAGTTGTGTACTTTTGTTTAAATTGACTGCATTATTTATGTGGTGGATGCCATCAGTTGGTGCTTTAAATATGACTAATGGAAGAAATGCAATAATTGCTTAATAGAATTTTGTTGGCTTTATTTTATAACAGCTAAAAACAGAACAGTGCAGAAGCACAGATTATCAGGAAATTGCCACTCCGTGTCTTTTCAGTTGGAATTTCAGCTTCTTGAAATGCAGGTAAGGATCAATGTATGTTTAAAAACCAAAGCCAAGCAAACAACAAAAAACAAACTTTAAACAGACAAATGTCAATACTTCATTTTCCAGATGAAACCTTCAACTATTGCTTTGTCCTTTTGATTGTCTGAGTCTCTTTAATCTAAGCCTCAGTGGATTCTTCTCACTCAAACAGCTGGGCCCAATTTTTGCATTCCATTTGCATCCGAGGATAAATAGTTCTGAAGGTCAAGTTCAACATTCACTCACAAAATTCTCATGTCCTCCTGTAGTCAGATACCTTGTTCTGGAGACTGGAAAATTACAAACCTTACCTCTCAAGGTATCTGAGAGAGTTGAGGGAATACCAAAACACTACAAACTTGAACAATTGAGGTTTTTTTCTACTTTTGTTATATTTCTGTTCACTTGGCTTTTTCATCACATCACATGACTGCACAGAAGTTACACTAATGATTATGGATTTTATTGCAAAGGAAGCTCTTTCATAAGAATTTATTCCTAGCACAGACCTCAAAATGATGAGCAGTGGAAAGCAACTGCTACCCCAATTTGTAATAATATCTTTGACATCAGGAAATTTCCTTCTCAAGAAAACTTGTTTTTCAGGACTTGATAATATTAAAAACTGCCTTGCTATGTAAAGATGTCTTTCATCTTAAGAAAAGCCATATTAGAAATCTAGGAAATAAGTAGTCACATGGATTGTGTAATTGGAAACAGCAGTTCAGCTGAATGAGATTATTCTGCAGCCACTTAAGTCCATGCATGACTCAAAACTTGTGGTCCTGGTTGCCCATTTGCTTGTATAAAACTGCATTTAGCTTTGAGCGTGGCAGCAGCCTGCATCGGTCATACAGCTTGGTTAGGTTAGCGTTTATTTCTTACCTGTGTACTCCTGCAGGAGTATACTTCTAGTGTTAACGGAGCTCAGGTGAGTAACTGGATGTATTTATAGCTGCCCTGGTGCTGCTTAAATTTATTACACCACGAGATGGCAGCACTTGTCTACCTAATGGTTGTACTACTTCAGCGCAGGTGGCGTACACTAGAGAAGAGATGTATAGAATACCAAGTGTCTATATTGAAAAACATAAAACCAAACCCGAACACTTCAGTTGAATAAATTTAATTTTAAGTTACTTTTTTGCATGAATTTAAAAAAAAATAAGGGTACACGGCATCTGTGACTTACAATGTAAGATGCCATGTAGAAGATGTATCAATTTACCTTAACTTTAATTTATTTAATTTTAATTACATTAATTTAACTTTGAATTGCAAGCATTTTATGCTTTTCTAAGGTATGGGCTGTGGACATGGAAAATGTTAAATTAGTTAAGCAGACACCAATGAAGAGTACGGTTTTTAACCGTAATATATGGGTTTTGGCATATAGGCTGTAAAATAAAAAAAGGAAAACTAACAGAATTTTTTTTTAATATAAGGTTACATTATTATGGTTTTCAGATGAAACCTTATATTTGTGGTTTCTGGTATATTTGGCAGCTAGAGGTTGTGTTGGAAAACAGGAAGAATCTTGAAGTGGAAGTAACATCAAAGAAAGTAGATGATCCTGAATTATAAGTCTTCCTTTATACGTGTGTATTCTGCATACTGACTAGTTCTGGTATCATTCCAAAAGCCTTGTTATGTGGACAATACTGATAGTGTTGAAATGAAAGAAAACATCCACATATAGTTAAATAAATGGTCTTTTAAGGATTATAGTACTTAGCAGCATTTGCATTTATTTGTATGTGGCTTATATGCAAATGGTTGTTTTTTTTTTCTACTCACAAGAGAAAATTCTGAACTATTGTGTTGTTACTTCTCCAATGCAGAACAAAGAGAATGCGTGTGCTGTCGTTACTGATCTCAGCATTGTAATGGATTCTGGAGAAGATTCAGATGTGAGCAAGTTTGTGTCAAGGTAAGGTGGAGCTTTTTAGGGAAAATTGTCGTATGAGATATCTGATACTAAATGCAATACTGAGGTTTTAATGTAAATTGCTGGCAGCTTCTTTGGTAATGTACTGTTAGCCCCATGTCCTGGTTTGAGGACTTTTAATCAATAAAAGGAAATTTGGCTTCATCCAGGCTCAAACCAGGACATCCAACCTAAACTTTCCCAATCCCTTGTTTGTATAGTCTAGAGAAAAGATGAAATGCACATAATTTAAGGCCTGAAAGAACTATTACAAATCCATGTTAAACAGAAACAGGTTTTGGATTATCAAGCTTTCTAGCTGTTTGAAATTCTCTGGTTCAGAGAAAGATGTAACAAGGTAATCTCAGCTACTGCATTTTAATTTATGTAATCAACATAACTGTTAACTGTTACTCAGGTGAGCAGTGTGGGTGAGTAATGGCTGAAGTGTAGATCCAGAATCTGTCTCCACTACTTGCCCCTTTCCAATTGTCTGCTTAGCACTCCTCTTCTTTGCATCAGGGTTTTTCACTGGTATTTTAAAAACCAAAAGAATATAGTTTAAAAGCCTAGACAAGTGTATTTGTGCAATGGCTTAAGAAAAGGTGCATTCTACAACTTAAGCATATGACTGAATGCTATTTATTGATTTATTTTTTTTTTGAGAATGTCAGCTTCTTGTGCCACACTGGATGAATAATAATCCAATTATTCATCTGCTGTATTCCACTGTGAAATCTGCTAGCAAACTATTCTGAGAACAAAACTTAGTTATTACTGGGAAGTTGTGTTATTACTGTTTGTTAAGTGATTTCTGTTGTTTTACAGTAGTTTTTTTTAGACTTGGGGTGGGGGAGCAAATGATGGGTGAAAAGAAAGGTCTCTTAAGTTACCACACGCTTCATTAGTCAGTACTGAGAGCTGAATTTTTCATTTAGAGGCTTTAGAATTTTCATAAAAAGCTAGTAAAGCTAAATGGTATAATTGAGAATAGTAGCTGACTCCTCTCAAGAAGCAGGATTGAGAAGAGGAACTACCCTGTTTTTTAATGAGTGTTTTCTGACATCAGAAGTGTCTTGGGACTTAATAGTCATACTACAAAGGAATGCATTGAAGTAGTGGCAGACCTGACTTCATCTTGGCTAGAGCACTGCTGTCTTGTCCCTCTCTCTTCACTACCCTGGTCCTTTTCCACATTACACATTCATAAGTAAACAGAAGTTTTCATGAATGATATAAGATTAATTAAGGCTTCACTGTTAAAAAAAGCAGTTCTTTCTCCCTAGTGTCTATTTGCATGGAACATCTGTTGTCCTTGTGTCAGTGTATATACCCTTGAAGCCATGTGGCAGATAAGATCAATGTAGTCCTTTTGGTTGAAGACATAATTTGGGGAGGGGGAGAACCCAAACCTTCTCTTCCCCAACCCCTTCAAATTTTTTTTGTTTGATCTGTCCTGCAAAAATTGGTATTTGTTGCTGATCTAAGGCAGTAAATGTTGACAGTGTCTCTTTTAACACTGTTAGGTTGACTTAATCTGGTTCTGTGTTCTCCCTTTATGACTTACTTTCTCAGTATCCTTGTTCAGCTTTTTTTTGTTTCTTATTCCAAACCCTAATCCCTTCTCTTCATGTTTGGTTTTGATTTTTTTTTCAGACTAGCCCTTTATTCTTCAGCCCACCAGCTGCTCTTAAATCTTGATTCTTACCTCTTCCCTGCCTTTCCCTGTATTCTTGACCAGCTAAATCTGGTCTCCTTCTGTATTGCTCATTCTTTCAGCCTCCCTACCAGTTTGCTTCCCTCTTCTGCCTCTGTGGCCCAGTCTTGCCAAATCCATTGTCTAGCTCTGTTCTGTTTTCTCTGTTGGCCAGGATTTTTTATTCCTCAGTTTTCTAACTTTTTTTGGCTTTATTTTTCATAATACATGATAGAAAACAGTCTTTAGTAGCTCCAGAGTTAAACCTTGGCATTCGCTTGTAATTCCAAAGCCTGTCTTGCTTTGAAAGAAAGAGAGGAATGCTAGAACACTTGAGCAACATGTTTTTAAAATAAGCAAAATTCAGCAATTTATTTTCAACCAGGTACTGCTGCAATATATAATTATTTTTAAGATATGCATACCATTCCTTAAATATGTTACAATAGTAAAATACATATGAAAATGGAATCACAATAGTCTTCTATTGTTGGATTTTACTTGAGTAATTTTTGCACCAATTATCACGTAATGATTTGTTAGTGTTGAGGACTAGAATGTTTATGAAAAATCTTGTTTGCAGTCTCTTTTTCCTTTTTTCTTGATGTACCTTTAATTGTTTAGTTAAATCTTGCATAGATTTCTTAAACAGGAGTAGTTTTTAGACATTTTGAAAATGACTCCTGCTTTTTACTAATTAGAATTTGTAAGTCAGTGAAGAATTTATGAAATATCTGGACTATATTGAACACTGCATAAGCTAGGTACTTTGGAAGTGAGGGTAGGCATGAATTCTTCCTGTGTAATTTTCTTATTTTGTATACTAATGGGAGAAGTCTTGCATAGTGCAGTGAGTTAAAATAGATTTCCTCTCAAAGGAGCCTTAAATTCTTTCTTCTTTACCTTTGTGTTTTATTGATGTTATTTTGTGAACTGGAGGAAGGGCATGTGGCTTTAACTTGATACATAGTTACTCTCTGCCGAATGTTTTTGCTTTTTTTGGATGACTTCTGTGTTACATGGATGTTTGCTTTGGAGATGGGTGTTTTCTGCTCTATCCCTCTCTCTTGTCTGCTACATTGCCTAAAGATGAATCTGAGATGGGAGGGAAAAAGGAAATAAAAACAAACAGAGGCTTTAGTAAAGCATATTGCAATAGGTATAGAATCATGTTTACTAGACAGTGAGATGTGGGTGGTCATTACTGAATCTGTTTTTACTAAAATAAGTGTAGATTTTTTATATGTACAGTTATGACTTGTGGTTCTTTGTCTGGAACAAAGAGATAATCAGCTATTGTAAATCAGTATGTGTCTACGTTCTTCCAGAAACTCAGTTTTGCCTGTGCTGCCAACATTTTTTAATCTTAGCCTGATATTCTTGGCAGCTGTGACTATTGTCATAACTTCCTTTAATTATGCTGTTCTTTCCAGGCTAGATAAAACTTGCTTGGATTTTCTTTTACATTTTCAATATCTGAATGAACATCATGCATTTTTTCCAGTTCATATTAATGTGACTTGTTAAGGGTTGCTGTTCCTGTATATTAAGTAGACCTGAACTGGATTGTTCTCCCTTGAATGGCTAAAGTGACTTGGTAATATTCTGTTAATAGTCTCAAGTTTCTGCTTTCATCTGTTCTGAAAATCCAAAAAGAGTACCTAATCTCAAGCAGAAATGATGTTAAAAGTCAAATTTACATGTGTAATTTAGAATTTTTCTAGCAATTTTATTTTGTCAGACAAATTTGTGAAATAAGAGAATGTACCAGCACCAGTGTTTGATGCATTGCAACTTCTCTTATGTGCAAAGTCATTACTACCTTGTAGTCTGAAAAATAATGGTGATATCTCTGTCCAAGTGCATTGTGTGTCAGTTTGATGTTTTGCTATCCTATTAAGCAGGAGTAATAACATCTACATATCAAGAGTAGCTTTTATTGTCAAAGCTGTACTTTTCCTGATGTGCAGCCTCATGTTTGAGTTAATATATATCTCTTTTTGTAGCATTGAAGAACATGGAAATCTTCTAACATTTTTCAGAAGCCTTTCATCTTATGCTGAGTGGTTTGAGCATCGCAGATGCACCTTCCTGCATTTCAAGGTAGTGTCTATCAAACCTCTTATATATCAGTACTATATTTTTATTCTTTAAGTAGTTGATTAAGAAAAAGCAATGAAGGTGAAATTAACACTCTTTAGCAGAGTATGGGAATCTTTATTTTGTGCATTGTGGTGAAGAGAATATTACCTAAAGATTTTTGTGTGGTGTTCAATGGGCAATACCCTTGCTTGATATTTGTCTAGATTTTTAGCATCCTATTATTGTGTTACTCTTGTGGGAAAAATAAGAATATCTGTGCTTTTTTTTGTGGGGAAGTTAGACATTTTTTTTTGTTGATATTACCTTTCATTTTGAAAAAAAAAGGGGGGTGGGGCGAAGAAAGAAATTAAAATAATATTTGTAGTCTTTGGCATTAAAATGTTAGTCCTGAAGGACTGGTTTGTTCTTCTGAAAATGTGGCAGCATGTGTTTGGGCAACAGGACTTCCAGTTCTGAAATCTTTTACTTGAATGGCAATTGAACAGTTCCTCGCTCTTAACTCAAAGTAATTGAAGCTACTTTTAAATTACCAGTATTTGGATTGTTTGCTTTGTACTGGTCTTATGATAAACAACTATTCCTTGGAGTATAAAAATATCCTTGAAGATAAACAACTGTCCCTTACCTCTTACAGACACAGAACTAAATGTGATGGTTAATGTTCGAGGAGGATGTGTAGCTGCTTAAATGTGTGTGGGTTTTTAGTTTAGTTTTATTTAGCTCAAGCTTTTACTGTCATTAAACTTAGAATCATCTTGGCTGTTCAACTGTAGTATGAGGTGGGAAGTGGTTTTTTCCTATATTTTTGAATCTTTTAGAATGTTCAGAGTTCTGTGCTAGATTAATCATTTTCTATTATTAATTAGTCAACCAGATTAAAGAAAAAGTACTGATTTCTGATCATGTTTAAAAAAAACCCAAACCTATCCTCAGCTGAGTTGTAAAACTGATCTTGCCTAATCTTATTGTATAAGGATTTTTCTTTCATTTCTCCAAAGAGAAGGTAGAACATAGTGCTTTTATGGCTTTGTGGTGTGGTGACTTCACTTAATGCTTTCTCATCCTTAGATCAGCTTCATAACTGCAGTTGCTTTGTTTTCCAGGACAGTGATTCACCACACTGTTGTAAATATTCCTTGTTTTAAAAAGCAGTGCAAAAATAAAAAATAGAAAGGAGATGGCTCTGGAGATTATTTTTAAAGTGTTCTGTGTATCTTAAGCAGTTTTCAAGTCATAAGCCTTTTCTGCTTACAATACTCCCTGGTGGTGTTCTTTTGCTTGGTTTAATCTACAACATGTATGTGTCACATGTGCAATCAAGACTTGAGCATAACCATTACTGCCCTCTGATGCTCCTCTGTTCTGCTGGGAAAGAATCTACAAAGTAGTGTTCTAATTACATTTTGAAGGGGTGAGTGAAGTGTCCAAGGCTTTTGTATGGCAGGTCTTGCTACATCGCCACATTAAATATTATATCTGAAAAATGGGTTTACATAGGCAAGTAATTTTCTGATCTAGATGGATCCTTAGTCTGCTGTGAGGCTGAACAACTGAAGCTTGTTGGCATTTCTGGAAGAGCAGATTGTTGAAGCTGATGATACACAAAAGAAATATTCGAATTTTATTGGAAATACAGAACAGAAATGAGTGATAAGAAGTAAACAAAATGGTGTACATTCAGCTTCGTAGTAGTACTGGTCACACAAATAGGCAAGAAATCCTGTATACTGAAGCCCTTCTCATTTAATGTTTTGAGTTAATTGGCTATGAATAGGAAAAGTAAAATATATAATTTATTGCCTGCATGAGGCATTCTGAAGGTACCAGTTGTCTCTTTTGATTTCCTTACAAAATATTAAGTGTTACTGTTGATAGTTAGTACTTTTTCAAAACTATATACAACATTTTAATGTCAAAATAATGTGGCAGTGATTATGTCTTAGAATTGCTTACACATGTTTATAGATTACATAAATGAGCAGGTATTTGTGTATACACAATTGTTTTCATAGGAAGAGTTATAGTGATATTTACTGATCCTATTAATACTCGAAAGAGCTTTAATTAGTAAAATGCTGTGTGATGAGAATGAGACCACTGTTTTGTAATTTTATTACACTTGCACTTCTAGCTTTATTTTCTCTATCTTGGGTATTTATCAAAAGTGGGATGACAGAATTGGTGGCTTTTATTTTTTTCCCAGTATAAATTTGGCTTGAAGTTGGAATGTATTTTTATGTGCTTTCAGGTTATTTTTTACTTCTTGCTGAAAACGTGAATATCAAAGTTTTATGACTTACATGGGAAAATTATTCTTATTTGTTTTACTTAATTTGTTCCCAGTTGCATTAAAACAATGGAATTTCTTCCTTGGGTAATCGGTTCAGGGCAAAAATACCTTTGTTCTGCATGTCATAATTGCATCCTCTTTGTAGCAAGATGAGCCCACAGACGATGCTTGACACAGGTACTTAAAAAGTGACAAAAAGTAACTTGGGTCTCAACACTCTTAGTGACAGAGCATCAGTATGTTCAGAATTAAGTGTGCACTTAATTCCCCATAGCACAAGCACTAACAAATCAAGACTTAGCTAAATAAGATAAACAAAACTAATACAAAATATCTTGTAAAATCAGTATTCTAGGTGTAGTGATACATCATCATGCATTTGATGCTTAACTATTTCTACAAATTAGGAATCTATACTATCTTTGAAATTAGTACAAAGTTGATCTGCTGATAGTAACTAGCACACTTCTGGCATTCATTAATCTGAAAAACTTACACCTGTGGTAGGTATGAGGGAAAGACTGAAAATGAAATGTCAGAAATGCATAGTTATGTAATTAAAAACATTGTGTCATGTATCTTATGTCTAGTTTTAGGTGAACTGACTTCTGAGGCCTTGCACATCAGTGTGTTTTTAATATACTGCATAGTTTAAAGTAATTGAGTGACTTGATGTTAGTTTAATTTTCTTGAAGCTAACACTATTTTTAGATTATAGAATCAACTTGCCAGTTTAAAGATTTGATTTTTCCCTAATGAGAGAAAGTATTGTTGTACAAGGGTACTTCAGTTTCTCTGCACTGACTTCTAGCTGAAATTCTATTTATTACAGGTAGAAATAGCTTTACTGTTAATTGTATTGTCACATTTCTTTGTCAAGAAAAAGAACTGGAACAAGGGGCTTGGTCTACATAAACTGTTAAGAACAAAGATACCTGGAGTCATACTATGCCGTATTTGGACCATTGTATTAAAATGGGAAGCTGACGTAACAAAAATTACTCCTGTTAGTAGAGCTGAGAAGAATTTATGCATTTCAATTAAAAATACCTCATGTAACAATGAAATACACACGCTCTCAGATTATTTTGAATGCAAAGTAGTGGAAGTATGTTTAACACATCTTTGAAAAGTTCAACTTGCTATGTTTTTGGTACACAAATCCTGTATAGGAATTATTCTCATTTGCCAGAAATGAAAGTTTTTAAGGAAGCTTTAATGAAGTTAAACTTTGAGAAATTCTCTTTCTAAACATAACTTTCTTCTGTATGCAGCTTCCTCCAATACCCTCTTGAAGGTCAGCTGAAAAAGTTTTATTTCAGACTAAAAAAGTGGGATTAAGACAGATTGAATTTTTCTTGTCACTTGCTCCAAGAATACTTTGCATTTATCTGAAATTACCGTGTGGTGATTGTTCTGGCTACTGGTAAAGAATGTAAACACAGTTACTTGTGTGATCTTTAGCTACACACAAAGGTGGTGAAATAAAAGTTGAGAAGATGTGTGTGTGCGTACATGTATTTTTACACTTTCATTAACAGAAAAAAATCTGAAAACATGAGTGACATTGTGACTACTTAATAAAGTGGCTGTTTTGAAATAGTTGGTTCAGAGGAGAACCACCTTTCAGCACAGTAAAAGGTTCTGGTTATGCAAGGAAAATGGCATAAGTAAGGGAAGCGATATAAACCTGTAAACAGAGGAAGAAGAATATCTGTTGTTCCCATGAAGCTTTGACATGTACAATTACAGAAGCAGTGGCTAGTAGTATGTTCCTACAGGCAGTGTTCTCAAGCAGGAAAAAGCATTAACATGCTTTGCCAGGACAATCGGGTTGCCTTCCATCCGTATCTCATCCATACTCGTGCGGATGTAACGTGTGTTATTAGATTTGCAGAATGCGTCATCAGTGATTGTAGTAATGTTGTTGTACTGCAAAACAAAACAAATTCTATATACTTTTTATAATAGATGCAAGCATATATGTATATACATGTATCCATATATATTGAAGAATATTCAAACTTTAATTTGATTTATCTTACCATTCCATTTTATTGTCATTAGGATTGATTTGTCTATATCATAGATATGTCAAATCAAATCTCTACAAACCAGTCAATTGGTTGATAAGCAGTTTGAGGTTGTTATTGATGTTAGAAGTGTATTGTTGATAATAGATTATTGATTATTTTCACCATTTTCTATCCTGGATATATAGAAACCAGTTAACTAATTGTCATGCAAGAGCTTCAATGTTTCTGAATGCTGAATGTTTGTGGCCATTCAGATTAGAGGTTAATTGTTTTATTTGGAGAAGCATTAGATGCTTGTAGCACAACTGCAGTGTGAAATATTTCAAAATACAGTGGGTTTGATTTGAAATATGTAACTAAAGAGGTTATTTGTAATAAAATGTTAAGGAAATACTTAGAAAATACCTGAAGATGAAGAATACGTAGGCTTTCTGGTAAATTAAGGGGAACAGATTCCAGTGCGTTATGTCCTAAGTAGAGGTAGGCCAAATTTGTCAGTTTCTAATATAAAGAAAGAGATTATTAATGCTGATGTAACTTACTTGCGGTTAAGTAACTTATGCCTGTTACAAGACACAGTATTTTTTTTTTTTTTTCAGATACCATAGAAAACTTGTAAAGTGATCTAACACAATTCCTTTGCTGTGAATGTTGAATTCTATTGTAACAAAAAA